CCAATGGACACTACTATCCCATGAGATAATTTATGGGAATGGGAGTCAAGCAAATGGCAAATTCCATTCATTCTACTTACATTTATACTATATACGTGGAATGTAGTTTTCTGACAGTTTCAAATTTAGCATCTACATGAGAAGTATGAGATTTTTGACAATTTTGAGTATTGAAGGATTAAATAAAAAACTTATTTACAAAACCATACCTATAATGCACTAATCTGAATTAAGTTACATGTATGAATTGTAGGTCTTTTATTTCAATGTCTCAAAAAACAAATGTGTGTGTGTTTGTAGAGTGTAGCATGTCTTTCCTCCAGTACAGCGCATCTGGACGGGTGTGGAGGGATATGTCTGCTCTAGGAGAAATGTTACACTGTCTGACCGGACGATGCCCTCATGAGTATCAACACTACGGTTGCTACTGTGGTCAGCAGGGGACAGGACAACCAGTGGACCGACTGGACCGGTCAGAACACACAAAATTTACTCACAAAACTGCTAATAGTTTAACTTAAAGTACACTTGGATTTTTTTATTTTTTTTTTACTTATAATTCATCCTAAAGGGTCGGTTTACAGTGTCAATGATGCAAAAAATAAATAAATAAATAAAATACAAAGAGTACCTCTCAAGCTCTATCAGGTTGGATGGGAAGCAACGATGTACAGCCAGTTTCAGATCTCTCCAGAGATGTTCAATAGAATTTAGTTCTGGGCTCTGGCTGGGCCACTCAAGGACATTCACTAAATTGTTGTGAAGCCACTCCATTGACATTTTGGCAGTGTGCTTTGGGTCATTGGGTCAAACGCACTCTGAAGCAGGTTTTCATTAAGGATGTCTCTGTACATTGCTGCATTCATCTCTACCTCTATCCTGACTAGTCTTCTTGTTCCTGCTGCTGAAAAACATCCCCAACAGCATGATGTTTCCACCACCATGCTTCTCTGTAGGGATGGTATTAGCCTGCTGATGAGCGGTGCCTGTTTTCTCCAAACGTAACGCCCGGCATTCACTCCAAAGAGTTCAATATTAGTCTCATCAGACCAGAGAATTTTGTTTCTTATGGTCTAAGAATCCTTCAGATCCTTTTAGAAAATTCCTGGCAGGGAGTGGCTTCTGTCTGGACACTACCATACAGGCCTGATTGGTGGATTGCTGCACAGATGGTAGTCCTTCTGTAAGGTTCTCCTCTCTTCACAGAAGAACGCTGGAGCTTAGACAGAGTGACCATCGGGTAATTGATCACCTTCCTGACTAAGGCCCTTCTTCCCCGATCACTTAGCTTAGATGTCCGGCCAGCCCTAGGAATCCCGGTGGTTTCAAACATCTTCCACTTACAGATGATGGAGGCCACTGTGTTTATTGGGATTTTCAGAGCAGCAGAAATTTTTCTGTAACCTTCCCCAGCCTTGATGCAATCCTGTCTCAGAGGTCTACAGGCAATTCCTTTGTCTTCATGCTTGGTTTGTGCTTTGACATGCACTGTCAACCCTGGGACCTTATATAAACCTTATACTGTAAATGTACCTATAAAGTACCAACGTGCACTGGTAAAATGCAAAAGTATACCTTTAAAGTACCAATGTGCATATGTACATTACAAAAGTGTTCCTTTTGAAAAGGTACCACACCAATGGCAGGTTTTGTACCTTTATTTGTATAGTGTATAATATTTAATTTTCCTGGTATTTACTATTTTATTTGATGTTTTTTTCAAAAGCATTTTAGAATATTTCCAATTTAACCTGGCTTGTGACTAGTCTAATGTGTGAATGCAGTGCTGGGTGTGTTTGTGTCCTGACTGTCCTTGGCGTTTATCTCTGTATCAGGTGTTGTTTTCTGCAGCAGTGCTGTCTGGAGCAGCTCAGTGTGTTTGGCTGCAGGACAAACAGAAAACTCAACGCTCACATCAGCTGCCACAAAGCAAAACCTCAATGTATGACACACACACACACACAAAAGAGCATTCATGCACAACACCACTTGTCTGGCATGTTGCTAATTGAGTTATTGATTCTGCAGGTTTCGGAGTGAGTGTGTGTGACCGGCTGCAGTGTGTTTGTGATCGCTCCACTGCTGAATGCATGGCGGCGTCACACTTTAACAGCTCCGCCAGCTCCTCATGCTCCGGGCCCCGCCCACTGTGTCTCCGCACGGCTCATTCGTCAGCACAGTCGACCAATCAGGAGTCCAGCGAGGAGAGCGATGAAATAAGCCAATCACAGCCTCAGATCAACACACAATCAGACACAGTTGACAGAAAACCCACACAAAGCAAACCACAACAGGACGTCAGAGAAGAAGAGGAAGACGAAGAAGGAAAGGAGAAAGAGGAAGAAGAAGAGGAGGAAAAGGAACAAGAGGAAGAAGAGGAGGAAAAGGAACAAGAGGAAGAAGAGGAGCAGTAGAAGGAGGTGTTTTTGTCATTTTGCTATTTTCAGGCAGCTCTTGATGATGTTATACACATTTAATGAAAAGTTTAGTATTCAGTGAAGATCTGCTGGTTTTTGACCTACTGAAAGACCTTTTATATTCGGCTGTTTAATTAAAGAATAAAGGCATTTATTGTTCAGATAAAATGATAGAATGTTGATAAAATATGTTGATTTCTGTAAAGAGAAATGTTGAATATATATTAGTAAATTGAACTTTTATGCTTTTACATTTTTATATTAATATTTCGGTTTTATTATCAGTAAATTTAGTACCTCAAATGAAGCCTATTACATTTGGTTGTCAAGACACTACTTTCAAATAAAAATTTTTTGTTTAGTATATTTTCACAACCAAGGGTCAGTGTACACTAACAACACTCCCCATGAATGTAAATGTGGCCAAATTAACCCAAAGGCTAGATTTCATTAGTAGCCATTTTATATAGGCCTTAAAACAACAAAATTACAGATGAAAATAAACAAATGTATATATGTGTATATATGTACACATTATATATATATATATATATATATATATATATATATATATATATATATATATATATATATATATATATTTATATACAGTTGAAGTCTAAGTGCCTTAGTGTCCCACCAGTGACAATATAAAGCCATATCGCACTGCTACGAGTGTGATATTGCGTTTATACAACAGTTATCGGCATAAACGTGTATATAAAAACAATAGTTTTTCTCAGTCTTTGTTGCATTTCTCACAACACTACTTACATTTGCACAACAGTTAATGCATTTCTTAAAACAATTAGTCATTTGTGTACATCCCAGTAGCAGTTTCTCATTCTTCTCAACAAATAGCAAATGCTTTCGGACATGCATCAATTGCTTTCATACAACTGTCTGCTATTTAGAACATTATCATTTGCTTATGTCATGTCAGTCAAAATGAACTAAACTTGTAAATGCTGAATAGTCATTCCATATAACTTCCATATAACTTCCGGAAAGGAAGAGTAGCCAATAGCGTTAGAGATAACAAGTAAACCAAGTCCCGCCCCAGGACTGACAAAAATCCGAAATGTTTCGCGCGAGCAGAGAGAAAAACCAGCGAGCGAGCGGAGAGAACTGATCGCGCGCGCGCGCTGTAGGCATGACCTCGCTCGCGAGAGCGTACATCGTGCGCACAGATGATGATGTGCGCGTGCGGGACTTGTTTTCTCACGCTGGATTAGTTGAGCGCGCGCGTGAAGATCCCCTGTGCGCTCGTGAGCTGTAGTTTTCTCGCGTGTAGACCTGTAATCTGCTCACGGTTCACTTCTCCTCGCGCGCAAACATCACCGCTGTGCGCGATTAATATTGGCATTGATATGCCGCCATAATTTGCAAGCTAGAGAAAACAAGAAGGCAACCAATTTATTCGCTCTTACTTACACTTGTGAAATGGAGGAAGAAACTGATCCACGGTGCACTGATCCATGTACTGACATAGTCCCCAACATCAGTAGTCTTTTCTGATCCTTACTTCATCAAACAGTCAACGAATGCCCCGTTGTAAGCGTGTAGACTCCACAAGCACTCAAACTGCACAAGGCTGGGGCTATAATGCCTGGGTAATTTTGCAAAAATAAACCTCAACCACCGACTCTTCACAGTTTCATCTTTGGGTCCCTCACACTTCCAATAATATCCTGCTGAGCACAGCGTTGAATCAACTGGCGTCTGCTACAGTGCGTGTCTAGCCTCTTTTTCTTTGCTACTGTGCTAGTGGGCGGGCCGCAGATTCCAATTTTCCTGGCCTTGCACGTGCAACAACTGGGCAGGGCTTAAGTTTTGTATCCACGTCACACCAAAACGGCTAGACTCGTTATCAAGATGATTCATTTGAACTACTAGGAGTCGACTCTTTTATGAATGAATCAATAGTTTTAAACACTGTCCACTTTCAGATTTAAGCCTTAGCTGGATATTTCACTTCACTTGGAGCTGTTACATGGCAGGTCATTCTCAAAAACCCATAATAAGGGCTCTTTAAATATTTCATGACTCTCAGCCAATCAGATTTGAGAACCAGACTGAAATGTTGTATATGTATATATATGTATATATATATATATATATATATATATATTTATATATATATATATATATATATAATACTTGCATACATGTAAGTATTAATAACTTAATATTTAATAATTAATACTTTAAATTAATTTCCCAGTGCTGGGTTGTGCCTGAAGGGCATCCACTGCATAAAACATACCAGAATAGCTGGCATTTTATTCCACTGTGGCGACCCCTGATAAATCAGGGACTAAGCTGAAAAATGTATGTATTTCATTCATTCATTTGGTGTATTTCATTCACCAAAATGACCAATGTGGTTAATTAAACATTCAAGTGCATTGTAGATGTATACATGCTTCATTTTAATGTGTTAAATTTGATTTCTACTTATATTAATTTCTAATAAATTAATTTTTTTATATAAATTTTTAATTTATCAGATTTCTTGTACACATGCATCCTTGAAGTCACAAGCAGGTTCTCCCACCAACAAAAGACAACGAAAACTAAGCATTTAAATACAAAATCTTTATTAAGACTTTATTAAGATCTCGTACATAAAATCTCATTGCACATTAATGTGGCGACACTGTCAGACGGTGAACTTGGATATGGCTAAGAGATTTCACAAGAAACACTGCAGTGGTTCAAACCTTTACCCATTGAAATCTAGCATGATGCATGTAGATTTACTCGTAATCTCTGGACAATCTTCACATGGAAGAGCGCAAAACTCGTACCGTTTCATACATCAACAACAACCCTGAAATCTACCTCATCACTTTTCTCCCATACAGAACAAAACAATTACAGATAAAATAGAACTAAATATTAGTTTGTTAAATCATGTGATGAACATAAATGTACCATAAAGTTCCACCGAGGATGAAAATAATACAAGAAAATGATACTAAAATGATTTTAGCAGATACAGTAAGACTGACTTCCCTTCAAAAATGTAAAAAGCATGCAAAAATAAACCTGACTGTGTCCCTTTTACACAAACACACACACACACACGTCTCTAAAGGTGCATTAAAGATGATGCGTCAATGAAACATCACATTCCTATTTCATATTACACCAAAAATATATTGCATTATTCTAGAAATCATTTACGGGTTTTTATTTCTACAGAAATAACGTGCCTGATTTCCTCACAGCGTTAAATCAGTGTCGCAAAGCAACTTCTGTTGAAATGCAGCAAGTCTAAGAAAATACACAACGGCCAAAGACTGACTATTTCTCATCGAAATCCTTCCTTTTACACTTCATACTTGCTTTCGTAGACTAGATAGATCAGCATCAGGGCAGAAAAGCTGCTGTCTCACTGTCATCGACTGGAAATTATAGCTGACAACAAATCAATCCCATCAGTTGCCATCTAGGAAGCTTGACCTTTAAACACTTCAAAACATTCTTTACTTTCTGTGCATACAAATCCCACAATGCAGTGCAACCATTTCCGAGGCCCAACAAAAATGGCAACGGCATTTAAATGCACCACCCCTGCAGAAACACTTGCCTGTCGCGTCCACATAAATACATTCAAAAACAAAAACAAACCAGCCACATTACGACAAATCCCCAGAATCCAATTAAAGCACCTCAAAAATCACCCAATATAACCTACAGTACGTAGACGGGTTTCTACCAGCTAAACGAGTGAAGTTGATCACAGCTCTCACCACAGGAAGCTCGGATGATGTAAAACATTTCCAGCAAAGTATTTTTCAGCATCTAACAGTCGCAAATAACATTGTCAGAATTCAGCATGACACATTTTTTTTTGTTTTACAGTCCAAGGATGATGAAATAGTTACCCGAAAAGCCCATTTAAAGGATCACTCCACTTATTTTTGTGGAAATATGCTTGTTAAACTGATGAGGTTTACCGTTTATGAATATATACAATTTTTAACCGAGATGCTAATGGTCTAATCTGATTCAGTAATTTATGCTATGCTATGCTAAAAGTACTCCCGCCAGACCCAGAGATCGGCTAAACAGATTCAAAAATGGCAAAACTTAACTGTTTAACTCTAATGAAGTTTTCCATTCATGAATTTATGTCAATTTTGACTGAGATGCTAATGGTCTAAACCAACTCAATGATTTATGCTATGCAAAGCTAAAAGAGCTCCCGCTAGACCGGAGATCCACTGAATGGATTCAAAAATGGTAAAACTAAACTGTTTAACTTCTGTGGGAATTAACTATTTATGTGTTTATGAAATTTTTGAGTGAGATCCTAATGGTCTAATCCGATTCAATTATTTGTGCTATGCTAAGCTAAGCTAAAAGTACTCCAGCCAGACCGGGAGATCCACTGAATGGATTCAAAATTGGTAAAACTCATCTGTTTACCTCTAACAAAGTTTTCTATTTATGAATTTATTTAAATTTTAAGTGAGATGCTTATAGTCTAATCCGATTCAATGACTTATGCTAAGCTAAGCTAAAAGTGCACCAGCCAGACCCAGAGATCGGCTGAATGGATTCAAAAATGGCAAACCTCAATTGTTTAACTCTAGGGCAGTTTATCATTCATGAATTTATATAATTTTTGAGCAAGATGCTAATGGTCTAACCCGATTCAATGACTTATGCTAAGCTAAGCTAAAAGTGCTCCCACAAGACCCAGAGATCTGCTGAATGGATTCAAAAATGGTAAGGCTAAACAGTTTAACTTCTGTGGGGATTTACTATTTATGAATTTATAATATTTTTGAGTGAGATGCTAATAGTCTAATCCGATTCAATTATTTATGCTAAGCTAAGCTAAAAGTGCTCCCAGCAGAGCCGCAGATTGGCTGAATGGATTCAAAAATGGTAAAACTCAAGGGGAGCTGTAAAATGAGCATATTTTCCCCTCAAAAAGTTGAGTGTTCCTTTAACACCCTTGTGGCTTGATCATTTATCATTTTACTTTTTAGATACCATTCCCACCCCCTGAATGAGAAGTCGGGTTCTGATTGGCTCAAGACTGGCTGCCATTTGTCTGGCCATAAAAGGAAGTGTGTGGGCGGAGCTCTTTGGTGATGAAAAGCAAATGTTTTGGTTTCTCTATACTGTGAAGGCAAAATGAAGAGCATAGTGATCGCTAAGAACTCTGGGTGAACGAAAGCCCCATTGACATCCACGACATCGAAGTTAAAGGCTAACTGTAGATTAATAAAGGCCTAAACGCACGCACATTTTGGCTAAGCCATGCAAAACAGAACACGAATAGCACTCGGCAACTATCAGTTCATCTAAAAGTATATGTGTTTTGTCAAAAATAGCCTATACTATACTTGTGTACACTATACACTATAATCATTTATATAGGAGAGATTTAAGAGAGCAGAAATCTAGTTTAGGTTTAAATCTCTCTGCTGATGATGTGCTAAAGAAATGAGCTAAAGGTGCACGCAATCCAAATCTGCTGCTAATTAACTCCCCTTTCAGATTTTCATGACTTGTATTTCAAATAACATTTAAGAAGATGGTTTAGATGAAGGTGTGGTGCATTGATTAAATGCAAGTAAATGGATTTTGAGAGTTAAAAACAAAAATGTATACAGGAAAAGCTAAAACAATACCAATGGATGCTGATTATAAACTGTGGACTCATGAAGCAGAATGATCAATCCGTGCAAAAAGAACTGAACATTATTTACAACATTAAAAGTAAGATTCACAACCTATAAAACAATTATGTGTTGCCTGTATACTTTGTTTACTCTAAAAGTGCTGATGTCCATTGGCTTACATTAAATATGTCCCACAATTTCAGCTAAACATCTTCTTTAATGTTCTATCGAAGAGAAAAAGTCATGTATATACTGGATGGATGAGTAAATTAACAGCAACTGTTCTATTTTTAGGTGAACTCTCCTTTTGATGAAAATAAACAAGCACTTAAGCCAACGCTAGCACTTAATTTCCCTTAATGCAACCAGAGAGTCATTTTCTAAACGACTCCTATGAATCAATACAGAAGAGTTCAAAGTCAGTTTGATTCTTTGAGCTGCCGTTTAGTGCAAGAATCAAACTGAAAAGCGCACAGAGCTGGTATATGATTGAACAGCTGGTTGTGAAGCTCTGCGTGCTGATTGGTGCAGAGTGGAGGCCTGTAAAGCGCCTGCCCGGTTGACAAAGCTTCTCTTTTCTGCTGGATTGAATGCATGTCAAGTCTATAGTGATCAAAATAAGTGGCTCAGGTAAGTGAAAGTTCACAGGACCAAACTAGTCAAATGTGAGTCTGTGTGATAAGAGGTGAAAGGTCATGGTTCAGTATACGCAGAGGTCAGGGAACTTCATTTCATAGACTGGCACAGACTGGTACTGGGCATGGCCTGACGTCACGGTCACGGTGCCCGAGGGGCTCGGAGGGGGGCTGATGACAGACAGAATCATCAGTCAAATATCAGGTTACACTAATAATATGTAATCATTAAAACAACTAAATAATCCAGATAAATCAAGTGTGAACTTACCGAATAGTGAGTTCGAAAATCTGAGCCAAGCGATCATGCAACATGTTAGCCTGAAATAGAAGAAAAATCTAATAATTTACAAAGAAATTCAAATAATTATTAATTCAGATAATTTATATGAACAACTTTGCACCTCCTCTCTTTCAATTTTTATGATATAATAAAATTGATCCTGTAATTACATTATATAATCTTGTAATTTTCTAAACAATTTAGTAGTTTTGATAAGGACTGAGGCTGATTAAAAGATTTATGCAAAAAATAAAATAAATAATAATCTGATGCATTTTACAGCAGTTAAATTTAGTGGATGTTTTCATTCCTAACACAACAAAAGGTAGTCAATTTGAACTGTGCACAAGGGAGATATACAGTTGAAGTCAGAATTATTAGCCCCCCTGAATTATTAGACCCCTTGTTTATTTTTTCTCCAATTTCTGTTTAATGAAGAGAAGATTTTTTTGAACACATTTCTAATCATAACAGTTATAATAACTTATTTCTAATAACTGATTTTTATTTTATCTTTGCCATGATGACAGTAAATAATATTTTACTACATATTTTTCAAGACACTTCTATACAGCTTAAAGTGACATTTAAAGGCTTTACTAGGTTAATTACGTTAACTACGCAGGTTAGGGTAATTAGGCAAGTTATTGTATAATGATGGTTTGTTCTGTTGACTATCGAAAAAATATAGCTTAAAGAGGCTAATAATTTTGTCCTTAAAATGGTGTTTAAAAAATTAAAAACTGCTTTTATTCTACCCGAAATAAAACAAATAAAACTTTCTTCAGAAGAAAAAAATATTATCAGACATACTGTGAAAATTTCCTTGCTCTGTTAAACATCATTTGGGAAAAAAAATAAAAAAATAAAAAAAAAGAGGGGCTAATAATTCTGACTTCAACTGTATACATATAGTTGAAGTAAAAATGATTTGCCCTCCAGTGAATTTCATTTATTTCATATTTTTATTTCAAGAATTCTTTTACAGTATTTCCTATTATATGTGTTTTCTTCTGGAAATCGTATGTGTTTTATGTCAGCTTGAATAAAAGCTTTTAATTTAAAAAAAATAAATACATTTAAGATCAATATTATTAGCCCCCTTAAGCAATTTATATATTTTTTGATTGTCTAAACCAGCGGTTCTCAAACTTTTTTCATCAAGTACCACCTCAGAAAAAATACCTCTCCAAGTACCACCATAGTGACGATGCAGATAAATTCCTATTATTAAGATAATATTTATTATTGTCAGCCACTTTAAACATTATAAATAGTTTGAACATTAACACTGTGCTGTACTTATAGGTAAAAATAAATAAATAAAAAGTCAACGTTTAAAATGTGCTTTTAAACATTAATCAAAAATGGTAGGCTACTGTTCTTAAAGTAAAAAGAAAACTGTTATACTTAAATGTAAAGTATTAACAAATAGTAACCCATTCATCAAAACCTGGAAATGTTGCTTAGACCTCATATATACGGGCTGTATGTCATCATATTCATATATAAACCATTTCTGATTAATTTGGAAATATGTTCCATGTATACATGACATATTTGTATACCTTAAAAAAAATCAAAACATTAACTTCTATTTTAAAATAAATTATTTGGATTTACATATATGAATTAGAAATTAGATCTGCTTACTGCGCATCCTTTACAGTCCGTGTGTCAGAAAAGTGAGTGATTACATGCATAATTACACTGCTTGACCAATTCATACGTGATTTATCTATTCATATGTGCAGAATTTCTGTGATTTGAGATCTCATCTTAAGTGGACTGTGGAGTTTGTTTTAACCGCACACAGAGACTTACTTTAATTAGGCTATATTCTAGCTCCAAGCTTCAAGCAAGGCAAAGTTGCTTGAGTCTACTGTATGTTCTTTGTCCCGCGACATTTGAATCACATCCAGGTAAATTAGCCTAAATCCGAGATAACAAATTAATTCATCGAAAGCCACGCTGCTTTACAAGACAAATAACTTTATATATTAAAAACACATATTATTTTGCACAACTACGAACACACATTTAACATGTTTGTGAAACTCATTTTACCAGTGATACAGCATGGGGAGATTCCTGAGTTTGCAGTAACTGAAATGCCAGCACAACAGCACTAGTCTGAAAATGCACTTCTCTAACCTTGTCTCTGCTGCACAAGTGCCGCACACCTCTTTCACTGGCTCTGCAGCAAAGCAGGCTGATTTTTAGCATCTGATGACAAGATGCACTAAAGTAAACATTGTAAGCACACCGATGTGATCGTATGCTTCAGGGAACAGCCGATGCTCGTTTGCGTCAAAGGATTAAAAGGTTTTTTTTTTCTTTCATTATTCAGTATTTCTCCACATACCACTAGAAGGAATCCTGCATACCGGCAGTTTGAGAACCACTGGTCTACATAACAAACCATCGTTATACAATGATTTGCCTAATTAGCCTAACTTGCCTAATTAACATATATAACCTAGTAAAATTATTATAAAACCAGTTATTAGTAATGAGTTTCTATTAATTACTGTTAATGATTACTATTACTAAAATTGTTATGTTTAGAAATTATTTAGAAAAACTATTGTTTAACCCCTGTGGGATTATTGAATTGATTTGTGTTGAAAAAATCTTTATTCCATTACAGATTTATTAAAATAAAAAATATTAATTTGAAATGAAAACTCTTCTAACGTTAAAAATGTCTGTAGTTTAATAAAGTTTCTTGTATCAGGTCTTTAAGGGAGCTTTCACACCTGTGAATCAATTCAGTTGTTCCGAAACGGATAACAATTGTTACATTGTTGCTCTTTGCTCTTGGTGTGGTTCGCTTTCACGCGGCAAAGTTTCTAACCGGACCAAAGGAGCTAAAACAAGTCATGTGTGCGTATACTCTCCTCACATTGGTCAGAGTTTCACGGTTTATTTTGCAGTCTCGCTTAGCTGTCAGGGTGGTGGTTTGGTGGTGTTTGACAAGGTGCACACGACGTGAAGAGCAAGGAGGGATGCGGTGGGAAGGGATGAGAAGGGTGCGCGACGTATTTGTGGAGCGGTAGGGAGACGCGCGATTTCCGGGAGATTATCACTCATTTGCGGGCATCCGGGAGTCTCTGTGCATTCGCGGGAGACTACCGAAACTTCCGGGAGACTTAGGATGTCTGTTGAATGACCTCCCGCCCTACTCATAATTCTCTCTTTATAGCCATATGCCTATTACATATCCGTAAAACACTGTGATATAACCGGGCTCGGATCGTTTCGCTTTCTCACTACAATCGATCCACTCCAGACTTACTTTTAATTGAGCCGAAACACCCTCATGCAAGCGATATCGGATCGATTGTTTTGGTGCGGATCCGAGTGCGATTAGTGGTTTCACATATGCCAAACGAACCGAGCTAACTGGGCAAACGAGACAGGTTCCGAAACAAAAGTCTAGGTGTGAAAGCACCCTAAAACAACACATTTTTGGGCTTCAAAAATGAATTATTTATTCCAAAACAAAGTAAACAGTAATAATTTGAAACATTATATATTTTAAATGAAATGTTACTACTTGCTGAATAAATGTTCATTCATTTAAAAGAAATTCTAGCATTAATCTTTATTAAACAGTAGTATAAATGTGAATATATTATATATTGGACTTAATTGGAATTAATAACCATTATATGATTACTTGCTAATTTCCACTGTTACCTATGAACTGCAAACAAGATGTAGGAACACGTTTTTAGAACACACACGCACAGACACACAAAGACAGACTGTACCTTAGACTCGCAGTGAGCGGCGATCTCCTCGAACGGAGCTTTCTGGAACTTCTCCATCACCTGTCGTCTCCTCTCCCTCTCCTGCTCCTCCAGACCAGTGGTATCTGACAGAGAGGAAGTGACATCAGACCAAACAAACCCATATACAGTATAAAAACATAAATGAGAAAAAACTGACCAATGGCCTTCTTCAGGGTCTCAAACGTAATCTCCTCCGCGAGCTGAGACTACAAGATAAACACACATATTCTTCAGTCTAATTATTAGCAATGTTTAAAAAGGATATATTATGCACAGTTTTAATAACATCTCAAACAAATATCTAGTGTCGAGTGTTTTTACGTTTTTACCACCTTTAATTAGGAAAAGAGAGAGCAGAAAGATGGACATAGGACCTCGAGCCGGGAATCGAACTTGGGTCGCCATGAGCACTGTGGTGCTATAAGTCGGCGCAGTTAACCACTAGGCTATTGGCGCCAACTGTCTGTGAAGATTAAGCTCAAAATACAGCACAGATCATTTGTTCTACCATGTCAAATGTGCTCCTACTTTGGGTTTAGGAAAAACACGCTGTTTTGTGCATGTTCCTTTAAATGCAAATGAGCTGCTGCTTTTACAGAAGAGGGCGGAGTCTATTGATAGATTGTATGGCTTGTTTCATTAGCAAACAAGTATCTGCATCTGAAAAAGTGTGAACCAAATAGCACACATGAACTCAAGAGTTGTGACCCAAGCAAACCAGTTGGGTAATCTCCTGGAGGTCATATCCTTTGTTATAAAGTAGTGTCACACAGACAGTACTTTGGGTTAAGTTACTTGAAGACCGACAAGTTAACATCAACGCTGAGGACCTGCGCTATTCATTGTCTTCAATAAAGTCTTCTCCCTGTAAGACCTTACTTATTTTATGTATTAGAGTCATTTAATACATTGGCGAGCCACCCATGAACAGTTAACCCAAATACAGCAAAATCCAACACTATACACACTAATCTCAGACATCTGAGAAAGAGGATACATTGCACCAGGACATTTCTGAATGGTTTAAAAATTGATGTATTTGTGAATTTGATTAAACGGGTAATACATTGATGTCAAAATCATTGACTAGCATGTTACTGCTGTTCGTTTACCCTGACTATACTAGAGCTGTGTTGAAAATATTTAGACAAAATGCAAAGTTCTGCAATTTACACAATGCATTGTTATTCTCTCTTGAATCAATTCTAGGCTTATTTTTAAACAGCAGATGGCACTGTAGGCAATTTTTTTTAGGCTAGCTGGCTCAAATGCTCTCAAGGAAGAGCGCTTGTGCATTCAGTGTCATAAAAGTTGGCTTTTATGTTATGATAAAAATGTAAACAACTCACTATGAACACTTTTGTAACTCACTTAAACCTTTCCTAACTTTGGTAATGATTATTTAGGTAGGTGGTATTGGTAAGGAATTGGATGCAAGCAAAGTATTGCTGCTTGTAAAGCACACAGCGCCATCTACTGTTAATAACTAAGCTTGAAATCCATTCAAGAGAGAATAGCGATGAATTTTTGAAATGGAAATGGATTCATGAAAATCCATGAATCCATTTCTCCTCATTTTCACCACAGCTCTAGTGAACACAGGCAAAGCTGAAGTCTGCAGTTAAATATATTTTATATAAATATACAACACTTCTAACATTCTCTGATTTTAGCACTTGAATATGGAAAAAGTTATGATACTTCCCCTTTAAATTGTATATGCGATGTATATGGATTTGCTCTTCAGTGTTTGGACTTTCAGCAGTGAAAATTAAACCACACTGAACTGAACCTAAACTCTGAAAACTGGACTGACGCAATTTTTAAAATTTCAATTTACTAGAACTTCTATGTTAAGGTGCTTTGACACAATCTATATTGTAAAAGCGCTATAGAAATAAATCTGAATTGAATTGAATATGTTTTTGCACCTGATCAGGCACGCTGTTGGAAATGATGTCCACTTGGAGAGAAATAGTGTCGACAAAGCTCTTCCTACGAGGCATCCGGTCTTCATCTGCGGGTCAAAAGTCACTGATATAAATGTATGAAGATTTAAACACTCAACTATTTCCCCTCATCCACATATTCAGCCTGGATTTGAGCTAAAATTAACCCGGCTATGTGCATGTGGGGTGTATGGATTTAGTTCGGCTCTTATTCACGAGGGAAAGTGAATTTTCCCAAAGCCAATGTGGAATGACACCGACTGCTCATGTTTAATGAATGTAATGCTCAGGCAAAGCAGCATGAGACAGAAGGAGATGCAAATCACTCAAACACAAGCAGAAATCACAGCAACTGAAAAGTTTCAAGACAAACATTCAGAAGTGAAAGCGAGAGTTTCAGGGCGAGCACTGATGTCACGTCAGAAGTTGAGCAACTCCATGAATATCTCATTTCTGAAACCATCTACATATGCACTCACAATTTCATCAAAACAACACTTTATCACGAGTTTGTTTTCTCAATATCTTCTTCATGGTAAAAAAAGTTTTTTTCAGTAACACTTTTTCTGTGCCATTGATTTGACTACAGTCTCCTTTATTGTTAATATTAGAAACTTTGGTAACACTTTAGTTTAGGTCACAATTCATGCTATTAACTACTGATTCTTACCTGCTTATTATTAAGATATTACTGTTCATTAGTAGTTATAATGTATGATCTTTTTCTGCATCACAAATCAACCCGAAACCTAAACCCAACTTCTAACTTACTATTAATAAACAGCTAATTAGTAGTTTATTAAGCTATTAGTGTTAGCTGATGTTTTTTAATACTGTGAATTGTGACCTAAACTCAAGAGGTACCAAAGTTTCTAAATTTTTTACTATTAAGCATTTAAAATGAAGACATAAACAGACATGAACAAGACCACAGTCAAATCAATGGCTCAGAAAAAGCATTCATATTAATTCTGAAATCATTATTATTAGTGTTTATCATTACTGAATGGTATATAATATTAATAATAAAAATATATTATAAAAAGGTTGGTAAAAATATAGCCTATATAGTTATTTGATTTTATATACAGTATCTACACAGAGAGAACAAACCCTTTTCTAATATTAGAGTTTTAATAATGAATACTCAATATTAATTGAGTGTATGTAAGATATGCATAGTTTTTTTTTTTTTAAATAGCTCTTATGTCCAGTGCTGTGTTTGCATTTATGACTAATTTATGTAGCACAGTTTTCCTGTGAGATATGACGTTTTGTTCCTTTGTATGTCCACACATGTAGCGGAATGACAATAAAGCTCAACTTGACTTCACTTGACCTAATTTAAATACTTTGTATTTGTAATATTAGCAATAAATATTGATCAAAATTACGCCTGTCTCGAGATCATTTTTTTTTGTTGTACGATATATTGCATCAAAACGAATTGCGATAAACGATATTGTTGTCATTTTAAGACCATTTTATGCCACTCATTATATAATGCCAGAATGACACTATAATAGCACTAATGCAATTACACTCAATCAACACATAATTCTTAAGAATCTTTAATATAATTATAGTAAATTTGACAATGTAACAATTAGGCATTGCAATCGGAATATGAAAACATATATATTACATAAATAAATAATAATAATTAAAATTTAACATACAAATTTGCAAGGTAAGAAGAATCAGAAATAAAAGTCTATTTAGATTAAATACAATATTACTTTACAGTAAACACTACAGTTTTTTTTCTCCCTTTTTTACCATACTAACAGTGACTAGGCCTGTCACAATAATCCCTATATTGACTTATAACTTACAGATGACTTTAATAATTTTTGCCATTATACTGTATATTTACAAATTCACAAACAACCTTAAAGACATTTTACAATGATGTTTACGTTCTACCTTACTGGTCTAAAAAGTATATATCTGGACATTTACCTATTAGGACATTTAAAAGTGTATATGACATTTATACAACATTTACATTTTTAACATCAACTTATAGAATTTAAATAAGGTTAAGAATTACACGCATTTTAAAGTGTTTATGGCTATTTGCATTATTATGCTGTTATATAATCGTTATGTAATCAGTGGCATAAAATGATCTCAAAATGACAATAATATTGCTTATCGCAAGAATTTCTGACAATATATCCCACAACAAAAATTCCTTATCGGGACGTGACAGTGACACCCAAAATAGAGATTGGATGAAATGACAGAGGCAGCGCAATCAGCTATAATGTTACTAACATTGGTTTTTATATATATATATATATCTTTAAAAATGATTTAGGTCAGGTTCATATGTTGTGCGTCAATATATAGACTATTGTGACAGGCCTAATTAAAATATTTATTAAGTGGTAAATTAGCAATCTGTGACTATTTATTTTTGAGTAAAATTAGGTTTTATCAAGAAAAAAAACCACGTGAGATGACATTTCGTCAGCACTTTCCCTGAGACTCAAGCTTGGTGTTGGTGTGTATTCTCTCCTTAACCTACCAGAAACACCATCCAGATGATAGCAGCGTCCAAAAAAGCAATACAGTTAAACAGATCTAGATGACCACATTATTCATCATATTCATACTTCAGGAGCTACAGATGATCTGCCACTCAAGCTACAATTCTATAGTATGTACAGTAAGTGTGGTAAACAAACTGTAGTACTGGGGAGAAACTAATTACAGCAGTTGGACAATGAAACTTTAACGCCTGGTTTTAGACCATAATAATTCATTAGTATGGTGTAGGGCAGGGGAGCTAAATCCTGTTCCTGTAAATTTACCTTCCTGCAGAGTTCAGCTCACACCTGACTTAGTTGGTTTAGTTATGTTTGGATCAGGGTTGGAGATAAATTGCTGCAGGAAGGTAGATCTCCAAGAACAGGGTTGGGCACCCCTGGTGTAGGGCCTCCTTTTGCAGCCAATACAGCATTAATTTATATTGGGAATGACATACAACAGTCCTGTACAATGGCCAGAAGACCTATTTCTTGCAAAATATTGGCCAAGTCACTATGTAATGCTGGTTGAGGAAAATGTTTCCTGACTCGCTTCACCAAAACACCCCAAACCGGCTCAATAATATTTAGTTCCGGTGACTGTGCAGGTCATGGGCGATGTTCACTCTGTCACCAGTTTTGCTGTTTTACCTGCCAATTGTTGTCCCTGAAAATTCAGCAGTACGATGGTTGGGGTGGGGGGTGCTTGGGGTGGGGGGGGGGGGGGGTGGGGGGGTGGCTTGGGGGGCGAGATGAGATGTCCTAATTCCATTGTATTACAGCCCAAACATCACTGATTTACTCTGGGAATGCAACAGTCTGGGCGGTGCACTTTTTTGAGGCTTCTTAACACCGTAACTCTCCCGGATGTTGGAAAGCCAGTGAGGGTGGACTCATCAGAGAACAATAAATGTTTCACATTGTCCTGAGCCCAAGCAATCAATGAAGATTGGCCAGCAGGCTGGTCAAATTTAGCCTTGAATTCTCCAACACTAAATTGGCCAGTGTTTCGGTCTCATTGTTCAACTCCTGTACATAGTCTTACTATTGACTGAACTTTCTATCCACAAATGTGACCTCTAACGTATTGAGTGTACCTCTGGATGTCTGTTTACATCTGTGCAGAATCTTTCCTACCGTGTACAGGACTACAGCGCAAACACGCAGACAGAGAAAAGTGGAGAAAGCGGATGAATTGACATGAGATAAGGAAAGATTTTTTGTTAGTGTCAACAGTAACTTCATAAGCATTGGCTTTTGCAGAGGAGTTGGCGTCTGATTTAAGCACCAGTTCTTTGGCTGGAAATAAACTACATGAGTTTTAAAAACCGTACAGATTTCCAAACAATACGCATCATATATTTTGGAGGCTTTGTAAATGGTTACAGAGAGAATCTGGGCATTATATACTAAGTGGTTGTGGATCAAGCACAACCAAGCTTTTAAGTCATTCTGAACAAAACAAACTTCTGTAAAAGTGTTTGTTGAGAGGAGATGCATGACAACTGAAAACAATATATAATATCCAATATGTGCAATATCAACCAACTATGTGGAATTATAATCCAAAGCTACAAGAAAAAGAGTGTGCGTCCCAAATGCTATACTTTTGCAATACTGACCCTTTTCACATGCGTACAGTGGGGTAAACTTAGAGTGCAGTGAATGTTTTTTTTTTTTTTTTTTGTATTCCTGCTTTGTGATTTGCTGCATTACTAACAGCTCACATGAGCAATAATTAGCTTTTTTTGTAATTAGACACAAAGATGATATAATACAAATTATAGCTTTATAAATGTACAAACATTAAAAAAACATGACATTATTAAGGGAATTAAGATTCTGATGACCATTAAATGAGTCCTCACCATCTTGTCATTCTATTTCGTTGTACAGTAAAAGTAAATCCATGTAAGTAGTGTGATCACACTGTAAATTCCATAAAGATATTTAGCACTTATTGTGATTCAAGTATTCAAGTGTCTTAGGCTCATTTATCAATTAGAAAGTTTGTTAACTACTTCAATCAAGGCTGAAAATACGAAACAAAAACACACAAAAATATCATTTTAGCCAGTAATATTGAATTACCATAGAAAAAATGTAATCTTTCAGTGTTTACTGTTATAGCGAAACATTTTTTTATGAAATTGATTATTTTATATCTGTTATATTTGCAACTGTTACAGAGAAACCTATTGGATTATCTTTAACAATGTCTGCAGACTTACCTGCAGTGACATGATGCATGTGCACAGCAAACTTTGTAATTATTTGAGTTTTCATTTATGAATTACAGACATTTTATTATATTCATTAACACCCAATTTCTAAATGACGCTAGAATGGCCATCCAAAGGGTAAAGTTCCACTTTGTTTGATAATTACTGATCTAGGCAGTCCAAATTCCCCCCCAAAAAACACTATTGTTGTGAAATACCTAGGAGTAGTTTACAGAAAACTTATAAAATTGCAAAATACCTAAAAATTTTACAAGATCTAATGGAAAGTTTCAGGTATCTACGCAGTACGGTTTGATCTGCCCATTTATTTTTAGGGAAGTATGGTGACTTTTGGGCTTTTCTACCATTTACAATAGGATTTCAGTGCTACGCTTGAACTCCTTAAAAGTGCACTTTAAATACTACAATAATATTTCACCCAAAATAAAAAATTTGGAACATTAATGAATATTTCAGCAGAAACGGTTTCCTTGGTGCTTCATAATAGTTATTTTTATTGTTCTATCATGGATGACCTGAGGTCGAGTAAATCAGCAGTTATTTTCTATTCCTCGGTTAACTTTCCCTACAAATCGACTATTTGAAACAGTGTAGAAGAGCATGTTTACCTGTGACCTGTGGTATGTAAGGTATGGACAGTCGCTCTACATTATATCCAGGTACAGTCATTGCTTCCGCCAGATCAGCCGTCTGAAAATACAGCGCATTGTCTTCCCTATCCAAAGAGTCTGGAAGCCTGATCCACACATCCCAAACATACAAAACCAAGGAGAGACATCAAGAAGTTAGTTAAGCCATTGTCATTTTTTATAAAGAAATGTGAAAATATAACAATAGCAATATTTGTAGTCTACGATAATATTGTAATAATTGTTCATACTTTATGCACAAGTGGATATTATGGAATTTCAATGACTTTTCCAAAAAAAAAAAAAAACCTGATAAAAACACACAATATGATGAAGAATTTTAGAGCACAGCTAGAATTACCCCACACTGTCATTCAGGTCATGAAACAAATTTTTTTTTACAAATTTATGACGGAGAGGAAAAATGAGTAAATCATGCACACGATTTAGTAAATCTAATGAACAAATAAAAAATTCTTATGGACGATTTACTTAAAATGAGGAAACAAATGAAAAAATCATGCACACTTTCTAGTTGATTGAGAAAATGTATTGAGAAACATGTCCACAATTGATTAGTTTTTCTCTGAAGTCATGCAGGGTTCTGTTTTGTTTATGGTTTTGTTATACAGTGGGGAAAATAAAAACTGAACACTTGTTTTTTTCCAGGGAATAATATTTCTAAAGGAGCTGTTGAATTAAACCAGATATTGGTAAATACCCAAACAAAACAAACATAAAAATAAAACAAAACAAATCTGAAAATGAGTTAGTGTGTAATCACAATGAAATGACACAAGGAGAAAGTGCTGAACTAGTGAAATGTATTTAATGCGTCATATAAAAATCTTTTTTAGTAATGGGAGCTTAAAGACGCCTTTCATATGGAGAATGAAGTCACATGCATTGCTCAGATGTGAGTTTTTTTTACAGACTTCAACAGAGTTTAAAATCTTGAAGGTTCTGTTGGTTTCGTCTATCAAATCTGATTTTTAATTTGCATTTTATTTTGGATTCAGTTCAGGTGATTGGTTGGGCCATTCTACAGCTTGGTTTTTTGTCTCTGAAAGCATTTGAGAGTTTCCTTGACTGTGTTTCGGATCATTGTCTTGCTGAAATGTCCACTCTGGTTTCATCTTCATCATCCTGCTAATGTAGATGTTAAAGTTAAGCAGCGAATATTTATTTACATCGATGAAGGGCAGAGGATTGCTGAAGAACTACTGAGAGATTTCAGCTGCTGTCTGGGCTTTCACTTTCTACACCTCCCTTTCTTCATGTCTTCAATACTTCTTCATGGGTCATTTCATTTTATTATGCATAACTTAATTTGTAAACTAATTAGTTTTGCATATATGCATATATGGATTTCTTTTTCTGTTACCAATATCTGGGGAAAATTTCAAGTCAACCGCACCTTTAGAAATATGTTTTCTGAGAAAACTGATGATGTGTTCAATACTTATATTCCCTGCTGTATATTAGCCATGTTGAGTTAATATCACACAAGAATATTTGTGAATATTTTCCAGAATAGGTTGGTTAAGGTTTACCCTAACAGAGAGATAACTGGTTAAAACTCACATCCCTGTAGTTCTAAAGTTACATGACTTCCTTTCTTCTGTTAAACACACAAAAAAAGATATCCTAAAGAATGTTGGAAATAAATCAGTCATTGGCTTTCATGGTATTACTGAAAAATACTATGGAAGCCAATAGCTTTTTTTTCCAACACACCAGCCTATTTGTTAATATTAGACCTAATATTGCATCTAATGGCTGAAATTACCAACAAACGGAATAAACAGTGAAATTTAGAAGCAGAACAACTGAAATAGTATTTAACTCTGATCCTTTTTTATTCACACTTTTGGAAAAACCCTAACATATCCTTTGATAAATAGTATAGTATAGTATAGTATAGAATAGTATAGACCTTATTCACAAAGCAATACTCACACACACTTTTCCCTGAAGATGTGTTCCGGCAGGAGATACGGAGCATCCAAACTTCTCAGCTCAATCACCTGACAGGAAGACAAGAGGTTACAGTGATTCGCAAGTGCATATATGTGTTATAGCCAGAAACTTGTCTCCTCATCTACCTTGCTGACATGTTGGCAAAAAGGAGGATTTGCGATCATCTGACTGAGGAAGTTGAGGTATGCGGCGACCAACGCCATGATGCCACAACGAATAAACATGGGCATATTCTCCTCATTGACCAAGGCCATATCCTTCAGCCAATCAGAAGACAGGGATTAGCATAACCAATTACACTTAATTGATTTTGGTAAGTTGCTTCAGGTTTCTGGTTTAATACCTGCAGGGCGATGGACAGACGCATCAGGTCAATCACCACCTCCTCATTGGCCAGTTCAATGGTGATGAGAGCCAGCGCTGTGAAGAGCAGTTCAAAGTTCTTCTGCAGATTATCTTCCTCCTTACAGCCCAGATAAATGTGCCTGTATAACTGCTGTCCATGCTGGAAGAACAGAAAGAGAGCAGTTTAAAGAGAAAACCAAGTGATCTAAAGGAGTTTGAAAAAGTTGTCATTATGCATTGTAGCAAACAGATTTTTAGGCCAAAAGCAGCAAAGAACATAAAGTGATAAAAACTGTTTTAAACAATGAAGTTCATCATTCTTTTTGTTTTAAACAACATTATATGCAGGTATAAACACGTTTAACAAGTTTAAGGTCTGATGTTCTGCATGTGAGTCATGTACCTTTTTCATGAAGACCACATCTTCTTTGCAGATTTTTTCTCTCTTGAACTTCAGAGCTGCTACGTTAGGAATAATCCTGCAGACACACAAGGCTTAGTAAGAAAGGCAGATGCATCTCAGAACACACACTTTTTTTATTTATTTTTTATTAGCTTTTGCATACTCATTTATTAGGTGTAAAAACTTTAGATTCTTATTCATTTACAGTAAACTAATTTTGTTCTAATTTGTGATTGCTGTACAGTGCGTTTTGACTTATTGAAGTTTGATCTTGTCCTTATGTACTTTCATTATATTGAAAAGAGTGACCATATTCTAAAAATAAAACCTTTCAGTTTAAAGAACAATGGTCATACTCGGAGCACTGAAACAACACGAGCACACCAATGATACATTCATGCTTTGTTGGGCTATTCCTTTTAAGCATACTGCTTCTTTTTATTACAAAGAAACTTAACAATAGACTAATTAGTACTTAGTAGGTTTTAAAGTTTGTGTACATGATTTTGAGTTGAAAAGCAGGTTTCTTAAATTTTAAGATTTTTTAAAATGCTTCATAATACAGAAGAAGCTGAAATCTGAAAACTGAAATCAATAAGAACCTGATATATTTAATTATACAGTGCTCAGCATATATAAATATATCTTTTAAAATAATATTTTTATTAGAAAGCTTTACATGATTATATTTGTGCATATACATTAGAATAGTCAGTACTGAAGACAAATTTCGAGCTTATCCAACAAAATAATTTACGATAATGGTCCATAAACTAGTACACCCAAATTTATGTTACATAAAAATATTAAATACAAAATAAAAATAAGGAAAAATCAAGAGAAGCAAAAAAATGGAAAAAATTTGTTTTGTAGGTTGTGTTTTTTTTTGCAATATTTTTCTTGAATTTACTTGTATTATCTTTTAATTTCTAAATATGTTTGGTGACTAAAACATTGTTTTAATAAATATATGCGTTTAATAAATCTGTTTTGCTTAAAGGCACCAAAATACATTGCCTATATCAACTGAGAAATGTAAAAAATATATAAATTTTTATTAATAAATATTAATATTAACGCCTCAAAATGGGGTGTACTCAATTATGCTGAGCACTGTAAAATGTTTTAAGATATTTATATAACTAAACAACCAGTATATAATTGAAATCAAAAGGAGCCCTCCTGTGAAATATTATTTTTAAAAATATTTTATTTTTGTATTAAAATATTATATTATTTATTTTATTTTTAAATGAAAATATTTTACATAATTTTTTAAATAATTAAAGTGTTATGCATATTTATACAAAGAAACATAGTAATAGGACAATATATTATTAGCAGGTTTTGGAGTTTGAGCATATGATTTTGAGTTTAACTTTAAACAGGTTAAAGATTTATTAAAATGCTTCATAATAGAGAAACTACAACTGAAATCAATAAGGACCTGATAAATTTAATAATAAAATGTTTAAGATATTTATGTAACTAAAAAAAACATATATAGTTGAAATCAAAAATATTAGCCTTCCTGTAAAATTTTTATAATTTTACAAATATTTATTTTATATTAAAATATTATATTGTTTATTATTTTATTTTTATATTAAAATAGAAAATACTTTATACTATATTTTTTTAAATAATTAAAGTATTTAGCATATGTATACAAAGAAATATAATAATTAAACTATTTGTTATTATCAGGTTTTGGAGTTTGAGCGTATGATTTTGAGTTGAACTTTGAACAGCTTAAAGATTTCTTAAAATGGTTCATAACACAGAAACTACAACTAAAATCAATAAGGACCTGATATATTTAATATTAAAATGTGTTAAGATGCATTCACTCATTTTCTTGTCGGCTTAGTCTATTTATTAATCCGGGGTCACCACAGCGGAATGACCCGCCAACTTATCCAGCACATTTTTACGGAGCGGATGCCCTTCCAGCCACAACCCATCTCTGGGAAACATCCACACACTCATTTATAGACACACTTATACACTATGGACAATTTAGCCTACCCAATTCACCTGTACCACATGTCTCTGGACTGTGGGGGAAACCGGAGCACCTGAAGGAAACCCACGCAAACGCAGGGAGAACATGCAAACTCCACACAGAAACGCCAACTGAGCCGAGCCGAGGTTCGAACCAGAAACCTTTTTGCTGTGAGGCGAAAGCACTACAGTGTCACTGCGTCGCCATGTGTTAAGATATTTATGTTAATTAATTAATCTAAATAATCAGCCTTCCTGTCAGATTATTTTAAAAAAACATATATAAAAGAAAATATTTACCAAGTGCTGTTTAACTGAGAGAATTGAATAGATTTTTTTTCAACACATTTTTAAACCTAATTGTATCAATAACAAATTCCACAGGAGGACTAATAATTTTACCTTTAACTGGATAATAAAAACACTAATAATTGGACACCAGGAATCAGTCAAGTTTCACAAAAATGGCACAGAACAGAATGAAACGACCGACAACCTGAACGCATTCACAGCATTAAATGATCAATGTTTAGTTATTTAATTATTGGCAGGTGTTAGCACATTCATTTTTAACAGCCCTGGTCTTCACACATTCACTATAGGGTGTTAAGTGCAGATTCACACCGGATCCCTCGGAGTTTGGCTCTGTTGTCATGACGATCGATGATGTTGTGGAGAATCTCCAAGACGAGTTGCCGGAGTTCACTGTCTTCCATCAGAGAGATGGAGCAAAGCGGCTCCAAAAACGCTGCGGGGAGGCCAGCGCCCATCGTTTTACACTTAAACCCTGAAGTAACCTACACACAGATAGAAAGAATCCATCAGACATGACCAGCACCATTATTATATATAGTGCATTTTCCCATTATGAACTCTAGAAATATCGTGGAACTTATAAAATTGTCCAGCAGTGGGAGATGGAGAGCAAAATCTGTTGACATCCAAAATAATAATGGTAAGTCTCAACCTGTGGACCCTGTTGCTGGGCAACACTGCCTGAAAAGTTGCCCAGTCTGAAACCATCCATAAACCAGAATTCTGACAAAATTGGACATCGCACACACACACACACACACAAAAAGAAGAAGAAAAAGGACACAAAGCACCACAGGCATCTGTAATCTGATGTTATGATCTGTGCAGTCTGCTGTCGAGGAACCTTCAGAAACTCCCTTTAGGAGAGTGTGGAAGGTTTTACTAACAAGCTCACAGACTGAATGCGAGTCTGATGTCTTAACTAGTCAAGACTAAAGGTTCGGATGTGATAGCTGTTACTTTTATGAAACACTTAAGACCAAAAGCCGTCTTATTTTAGTAGTGGAGATTGTGAAATGATTTTCAAATCAAGCTTTGCATCACATGGCAAATTTGTGAGACCAACTGAAATTAAAATGAGCAATTTTTTTGCTCTTGCACGTAATTCCATAATCTGCATGGTTCCTAGTGATACATTCATGCCACAATATGACACTGATAATGAAGCTGAAGTCACAATGCAATGTTATTGCAATGTTTTAAGCCAAAATAAAGAGGATTTTTTTATCATTATCATAATTAGGTCAAGTTCAAGGTCAAGAAGATCAAGTTTCCTTTATTACTGTAATTCAAAACATTAAAGGAGATGTACTGCAGAAAGAAATTGCATTGTATTGGTGCTCAGTAGGGCTGTGTGATTAATCGAAATCAAATCACAATCACGTTTTAAAACGTTGCGATATCGCAAGAGGCTGCGATATGAAATATATATTATTTAACTTCCCCTGCTCAGAGCAAATGAATGACAGCCATCTGTGTGTAGCAGTCTAACTAGCCAATTGAGTGAGCACACTTTCATTCTGCCCAATCAGAATTGCACAACCGAACTATGCGGTTGTATACAGTTGAAGTCAGAATTATTTGCCCCCTTTGAATTTTTTTCTTATTTGAATATTTCACAAATTATGTTTAACAGAGCATGGAAATTTTCACAGTGTGTCTGATAATATTTTTTTCTTCAGGAGAAAGTCTTATTTGTTTTATTTAAAAGCAGTTTTAAATTAAAAAAAAAAACATTTTAGGGACAAAATTTTTAGCTCCTTTAAGCTATATATTTTTCGACTGTACAGAACAAACCATCGTTACAATAACTTGCCTAATTACCCTAACCTGCCTAGGTAGCCTAATTAACCTAGTTAAGCCTTTAAAAGTCACTTTAAGCTGTATAGAAGTGTCTTGAAAAATATCTAGAAAAATATTATTTACTGTCATCATGGCAAAGAAAACATAAATCAGTAATTTGAAATGAGTTACTAAAACTATTATGTTTAGAAATGTGTTAAAGAAATCTCTCCGCTAAACAGGGGGGAATAAACAGGGCGCTAATAACTCAGGGGGGCTAATAATTCTGATTCTCTCTCTCTCTCTATATATATATATATATTGCTATTTTTAGACCAGCCCTACACTAATTTTCATGTTTTGCGCTAAGTTGTTCAAATAGCAAATCCATTTGCGCCACTTTGTGAACTCATGGGTGTGCCTGTCTAAAAAGAAGGTGTGTTAAGGTGCATTATTGGCCATATTGAATAACTGAAATAGATCGGGCCTTTGACCAACTAAAAGCTGGTCTACAGTCGAGTTAGTTATGTGCCTATGCACGTTCAAATGCTTAATGCACACACAGGATGTACAGCAATACAGACATATATCTGAATTAAAAATTAAAGGAATAAAATAATCACAAAAATTATTATTTTCTACGCAGATATAAAAACCACTGCCTCCATGCCTTCTTCACCTGTTTTTTTTTTCAGTTTATTAATGACAATTTGCAACTGTATAATATTATTATTAGTAGTATTATTTATTAGATGCATATTTATATTTGTTTAAATAAAAACAAGTTTATATATGTCCACCTGTCTGGTTTTGGAGCATCGCTGTATGAGGCATAAGAATAGGACATGTTTGGATATATTATTTTTTTGACCACACTTCGTTATTGTTCTTCTCTTAACAAACGAAGTTAAAGATGTAGGCATGCCCTTAATGCTTTTGCGCCATGCACTTTAGACTTTGTGCATAGATCTTTAAAATAGAGCCCATTAAGTTTATACATTGCCTCTGTGATTTATTAGCTTGTGCCTGTATAAAAAATATTTATATTTTGACATTTATGAAGTCACAAAACATTATTTATTTAGGTTTTTATAGTATTTTTTGAAGGGACATAGTAAAAAAAATTGTACAATTGAATGTTAGTTAGAGCTAGATATTGGTGAGACTGCTCAATGTATTCTTTTATGACACCTTTTTTGGATCTTTTTAAGAATAAACTTTAAATATTTAGAAGAATTTAGGAGAACAGATGTAAATCTCAGGTTTCGTTCAAAATAATGTACATTTTTGTGTGTTATACCTTGTAAATACAAATAAGCTGACTCTTGAAAAATAAAATATGGTTTACACTCCTAATGGACTCCTATTAAAATGACTCAATTTCGTCAGCAAAAATGAGCAAAGCACTGGTAAATGTGTCCACAACATTGGCTTTCTTTAATCATTACTGCCTTACGCACACACACTTTCCAAAGCACATGTATCCGTACACACACAGACACACAAACACACTGACACACACACACACACACACACACACAGATAGTCTAAATGAAATAAAACAGCATTACCATAATAAGAGAACTGAGCAGCATCGCCTGGATTCTCTTAGTGCCCTGATGCCTGAGAAATGAAGACAAAAATCCAAGACTTAAGAAACATTATCATTATCAATGTCAGACACAGTTACAATGCTTAAAATTTGTCATTGACTGGTATATCACTAATTTATAAATTTGTAACATATAAATGTATAAAGGAGTGTACATAAATCTATTATTTGTTAGTGTGATAAACAATGTATACACTATTATACTCTAAAACAGGGGTTCTCAAACTCTCTTCATGAGATCCAGTGTCCTGCAAATTTTAGCTCCAACTTTCCTCAAAATACCTGAAAGGATGTTTCTAGAAAGCCTAGTAAGGACTTGATTAGCTAGTCCAATGTGTCTGATTGGGTTTGAAGCTAAAATCTGCAGGTCAGATATTGAGAATGCCTACTATAAAATATTAGTAGCCAGCGACAATAAAAATGACATTTGACTGCTCTCCTTAAAACAAATATGTGAACTAAAGAAGATGACAAATATTAATACTGATTATTTAAATCGATTGATATTGTGGTATACGCAGCCTTAAAAACATGTCTTAAATATGTAATACTAAAACAGGTAGAAGTATGATGGAAGTGGAAGGTCCTGCAGGAGATTCAGCAAATAATGAACTAAAAAAGAGGATCATTTTCATAACAATGACTATTATAATCCAGCAAGTGATAGAGCACAAATTAGGATGCAAACAAGCAAAGTCTAACATAGTCAGGTGCCGATAACCTACTAACAATCAGGGTGTAAGTTAAAGGTCCAATAAAGTGCTTTGAAATGTGCATTTTTTATTCAATGTTTGACGTAATCTTAACCGAAACACGAAGAGAGGGTGGGACATTGTGTAGCTCCTCCCCTTTTTATAAAACAGCCAATAGAATTTGCTTCATCACCACTCTGCTAGAGAGAGAGGATGAGTTCAAGCGCATCAAATGTGAAGCACCTTAAAGTGGGCAGGGCATGTCAGATACTAGAGAGCCTTTGATTCGTCAAGATTTGATGAGAAACTCTAGTATGAGGTGAAAAAAAAAAAAAAAATACAAGCTTTAAATAATTATATCAGTTTTATATCTTCTAAATGCAAATTTTGTAATTGCTTTGGAGCACACTAGCTTATAGATATCATAAAAACAAACAATAATAATATTGACATCTAAAATACTTTCATTTATTTCATGGGACCTTTAAAGGGACAGTTCACCCATAAATGACATTTCTGTCATCATTTACTCACCCTTGGCTTGTTCTAAACCTGTTTGTTGAACACAAAAGAAGATAAATAATGTTTGAAACAAGTAGCTGTTAGCTATGTTTCCATCTAAAGATGCAAATTAAATTTTTGCACAAAACTGGAATATCGCATAAAAGACGTGCGAATAAAGCAGCGTTTCCATACAATTAGTCAAAGAGAACAAAACTGCGTCTTCCTGATTAACTGCCGCCAAATATCAACCGTAAAACAGAATTTACTGCGGTAGGAGAAGCTGCGTGAATCTTTTCTATATTTTGTAAATGACCTCAAAAGATGATGCCGACATACAATGAATGCGTAATGGCTTTTGAAGGCGTGAGACCTGGGGCACAGACGCTCTTGACGCTCTTCTGAGGGTAATCAATAATATAATAACACTAATACTGAAATGTTTAAGGCATTTTAGAATGACCAAAACAACATTTTAGATGTTTTACAACGTGCTCAGCCTGCTGGATTGTCCACTCACTGATATTTCTACCATCACATGATCTCTCATAACAAAATCACGACTTTTTAATGCGCGTTCTGGAATTTGTTTGGTTAAAGTGTTACCATCATAGTTTATGTGCATCTTATCGGATAAAAAGTTTATCCTACTCAGTTATGCGCATACATTTTTATGCGCATTATCAAAATTAATGTGCATCTTGGTGTTTCCATCAACTGTTTTTCATGTGCATATAAAAATGAGCATCAAAATAGGCGGATAGAAACATAGTTACCCAGGATTTTTATTTAACTATGGAACTCAACGAGTCCATACTATGGAAGTCAATAGTTTCCAACATTTTTCAAAATATCTTCCTATATGTTCAACAGAAAGAAAATTGTTTCGGATAAGTGAAAGGACAGTAAAAAGTAAGTAAATATGAATTTTTTGCATGAACTATGCCATGAAGACATGCTTTTTTGACCATAATGTATGGTTCAAATGCCAATGAAAACAGCAAATCTTAAAAAAAAATTGTCTTGCACGATTCATTTAAATCTCTCCTTCCATAAATTTTGCATTTGAAAGTGAACTACTAATGTACAGTATATGAAATATGCCAGGCGCAAAATTAACTGTGTGTCCTTTTCAGCTCTAATGACTCACTATGTGCCTTTAGTACATCCTGACAGAACTGTTATAATGCCAAAACAGGGTTTGTGCTTACTGTTAGTAATACTTGTCCTAAATCTTTCACAGTTATTCAAGTAAACAGGAATGCAATAAGATGATGACTGAAAAATTGTGTACAAATTAAAACAACTAAATATAAATACTTACATTTCACAGATCTGAAAAAGCAATGTTTTTGTCACCTGATTTGTTTATCCTACAAGTTTGCACTCCATAGAGATGTGCTTTTGACATCTCTGATTACAAGTCATTTGCATGTTGCAAACGTGTCAGTTTAACACACGCAATCAGCAGTGTTAATCAGGCATTTAGTAAACTTTCTCCAAATCAACACGTACACACACAGACCTACCCAATCTTGACCGTGTCCAGCGTGTGGCATGGCGTCCCGTAAACTGGTACTTTTCCCATAATGAACATCATCACTTCTGCTCTCTGGTAATCAGGAAGATTTCCTCCAAAAAAACCTAAACATGAAACAATTAGAGCAAAATCGCTTTAGTGTTTGAGCCTCATTAAACGTCAGATTTAAGTGTGCATGTGAAGCTGTCACCGATGGTTTGGATGATGGCATTCTGGACGATGCGTTCCTCGCTTTCTTTAGTGCGGACGGAGGAGAGGCTGCTGGTGGAGTTCCTGCGGGACCCGTCGCCCAGCTCAAAATCCACACTCATCCGCAGATGCTTCAGCAGGGTGTTGAACACCTCAAGCACCGTGGGACCTGAAAGCACGCACACAGCACAAAGTCATTATGCAGATTTATGCAGATTATTCTTACTAAATCTGCAAAAAAAGATGCTCAAAGTCACAGGTTCTGCCTCTAGGACTAATCAATAAGGACTATATGAGATTAAAGGGTCAGATCAGCCTGAAATTTTAAATCTGTCATCATTTATTCACCTTCAAACTTTTATTTATTGAAGGAACACAAATGAATATATGTTTAATTCAGTCTAAGAGGTTTCAGTCCCTCCATTAAATGTCTATTCACTTTTAAAAAGTAAGGAGACACTTTAGTGTAATTACCAACTCTCATTGTTAATCAGTGGCTGTTATTATGATATTGGCTGTTTATTTGTACTTAAAATCCATGTGGACAGGAAGTTGCTGAGACTTTTATGTCAGTGTGTTGACTTCTAACCAATGTTGGAAAGAGTACTGAAAAATTTACTTAAACTTTAGTAAAAGTACCATTACTTGCCTAAAAATGTAGTTTAAGTAGAGTAAAAGTATCTGTTGTAAATATACTCAAAGTATGAGTAAAAAGTAGACATTTCTAAAGTACTCAAAAGTAGTGAGTAGTGAGTATTACGCTATAAAAAGCTGATGCGTTTACATGTAATTTACATGTGTGTAAACGTAACATTCTGTAGTGCATTTAGCTATTGCCCAGCAGGCACACAACGTGAGAAAAATATGCTGTCTTTATTCAGTGTCTGCGGTCAGATAAAATGTCCAGCTGTTTTTAGTGTCACATGGTTTAACTGACCTCATAGTTTTCCATGAGAACCACTGCTGTAAAATTGGGTTAAACTGCTTGATTCATATAATTACATTTTTTTCATTCAATAAATAGGGTCAGAGTTTTGGATCCATAGACTTTCAATGTGTTCCAGAGATGAGCAGGTTTATAATGACACAAGGGTGATTAAATAATGTCAGAATTTCTTTTTTAGGTGTTCTAACCATTTATAAAATCAAATAAAA